CGTGCCTTATTTGGGCCCAAAATCTTATAATTCCTCGAGTCTAAAATATGATGTTGTCCAGTTCCCTGGCGGATGAATAGCAGATTATGATTTTAGATCCCTTTTTCTAATTGTTTATAAATCTAACCGATCTATACTTTTTTGGAGCTTGAGAATTCCAAGTCAATGGAAAAAAATAAATTGCTGGACCTCACATGTATTTTTAGCGTTGTAACATCTGTTGGCTCGGTTTTAAATGTGCCTCCATTGAATATCACAAGGGCATACTTTTGATACAAGGTAGTCACATTAATTTTGACTATTGGATGGTTATAATTATTTCATTCACCAAGCTTAAACTTCAAAATAATTTTTCTCGAATTTTGTAACACATCCAAGCTATCAAATTTCACATTGGATGGTTTTAACTAATTGTGACTATGTCAAAAGTAATTAGTCTCATTGTATACAATCCCATATCGTAAATCTATGGCCCTACAAACGCACTTTAATATTTGAAAAGTGAAAGTAGTGGGTGCATGAGATGGCATCTTAATACCCTTTTTGGAGATGGATTGCTTATGCAAAACTCATTGCAGATATCTGCAAATTCATTTTCAACCCAAATCTTGAATTCAGAACTCCTTAAATAGTGCATATTTGACAGATAAATGAGCGGTTCACCGAAAAGTTGTCAATGTGTGACCCTTTATATAGCTCCAAAACCTTTCCTTAGCTAGTTTGGCTACCATTTACTTTTAATACAAGTATGTTTAATACAAAAAAGTCACAATCACGCTTGTCTATTAGATTTCAAATCTGGTGGTTGTGTGTGTGTCATTGACTCAAAATTAAAAAAAAAAAAAAAAAATTATCATACTTTGTGTCGTACCCCATATGTGTGTCATTGACTCAAAATTTAAAAAAAGAAAAGAATTATCATACCATGTGTCGCACCCCAAGAGATGCCAGTTGTAATTATAATCTCCTTGTAATAAAAGGGCAACCTTTCTATGCTTCCCCTACAGCATAAAACTTATGTAGTTATATATACTTCTCCTTATCCGACCATTGATTCTGAATGGAGGGCTACGATTGCCCCAATCACAATGTCATGTCTTTACACTATTTATTTTTAATTTTTTTTTATAAACTATTTTGACACCAAGTTTTGGATGTCCAATCCTCTAATAAACTCTCATTAGCAAAAAATATAAAAAAAAAATATTTTCAATAAACTAAAATGACCAAAATACCCCTGAAATGTTAAAAGGGTATTTTGGTCATTATATTTTATCGAAAATTTATTTTTAATATTTTTTATAGGTGCACCCCAATGAGAAGATGAATCAGGGAATGATTTCATGCTCAAAAATATCAAAATCGCTCAAAAAGAGTGTATCGAACAATCTCCCTTTAGGGTTTTTGCGCCTGAAATTTATGGTATGCCTTTTCCATATGTTCTCCTTTGTTTTTCTATTGAATCAAGTTATTTTTATTTTCTTTTGTAGATATTTGAGTGATCTATGAAATCCCTTACATGATTTGGTTGATTGAAGCTCTGTAAATCAAGTTATTTTAGCTCTTCTCAACGGATCTACTATGAAAACTAATTTTTTCACTATTTTATTGATTTTTTTTATCTATTATCAGTCTTTTTTTTTATATATTTGACTCATTTTGCTGAAAAATGTCTGATCTAATGAAACCCTTATTTTACTTCTGGATTGGAGCTCTACAAATTATTATTTTGGTTTTCATTCCATTGGATGTGAAGACTCTCATTTTTTTAGAAATAAGCTAAGATTTTTTTATTAATTCGAATTTCAAAAAATAAAGAATATTGTAGTATTTCTATTTTATTTAGGTAATATTATTTTTTTTATAAGGGATTCATAATTTATTTAGTTAGTTTTGAGGGATCAAAAAAAAACAGAGAGATGGAATCCCAAAGTATAAAACTCATAAAGGATGTGGTTTGTATACGGTTGCAACCTTAATCAACTTAATACGCACCCCAAAATTTTATCATACACGTAATTTTGGTGTAAAAAGTTTTTCGCGTGGCTTGATAATCTACTTTTGTCTCTAAATATAAAATATTAAACTCCAAAAATGGTTCAAATAAAATAGATTCTATAAATATTTGAAAATTGTGAAAATAGATGGTCTAAATAATTTGTTGCAAGATATATAATTTTTAGGACTCAAATTGTCTTTTCTTTTCATATTCATATAACCCGATGTAGAGATGATCAATTAAAGGATTTCCAACATCAAAACAACTTTTATGATGGATTTTTGAGATGCACATTAATTCTACATCTTAAGTTTGTTTAAATTGTATGTATATAACTTTCTTTTTCTGTATTTTTATTTTTTTTTGTAAATGTACACGACTGGATTGAGTTACTAAAACTCGGTCAAGTAGCTCAACTCGGCACCTTAGCGAGTCGTGTTTCAGAACATTAACTATAATTTTTCCATGATCACATGATTCACTACGGTTTCCCTTCTTTTATTACACGTTCGGTGAGAACTGCTGTCAATCAACCGTCCAACCTTTGCATTCAACAATGATTGCCCTATGACCATATTTTTGCCATGATCATTTGACTCACACTATGATTTCTTGACTTTATTCCATGTTTTGAGAGACCTGTTGTTCCTCTATCACTGACCAACATACGGATTCGACAATGCTTACTCCTAAGGTTTAAAAAATGGATCGGTGACCCAGATCTTCTTTTCGAAAAACCTGTCTGGTTCAATGGATCAACGACTCAGTCGAGTAGACCAACCAATAGAAAATTAGAGGACAAAAAATTTGAAAAAATAAAAGGTGGGCCCATTCTAACCAGTTTTTTGACAGAATTAGCCAACTATGTCAGAGAAATGGTCAACATCGGCCAGTTCATAGAGGGAACCGATTCGTTCTTGATATTTTGGAGTTCCCTGAGGCTCATGATTTGGATCAGCCTATTCCAATCTGGATTACCATTTTTCTGAACCCTGATTACTCCTACCACCGTACTTTTTCCGTAATCATACCAGTTACATTATGGTTTCCTTATTCTAGTGGCTAGTTTTGATTCTTCAATGGGGTGGGCAGCTCGGCTCAAAAAAACCAGGGTCTGGGCCATAAAATATAACTTGAGGACTGGCCTACCATGGCCCAGGGCTAGGCCAGGTTGGGCATACGCTTGGGCCAAGACATTCTCACCCGACTTGGTGTGTCCCCTTGGTTTTTAATTTTCATTTTTTAGTAAAAAAAAATTGAGGCCCAATCCAACCCAGTCATGACAGAATTGGCCCAACAATACCCAATGTCCATACCAGCCCTAAAGAGGCATTGGTTGGTTAGATCAAGATTGCCCTAGTCCAATACCAAGCCATTATGAGCCCTACTCTTGATAGACTTTTGTGATCCCGATTTACACCAATATTATTTTTAGTGGTGGTCTATGCATGGGCGAGGGTTGAGTCCCGCCTTATTTTTATTGGCCTTAAATAAGACACCTCGGGGCCATTTGGATCTTTGGAAAAAAAATTGTCCAGAAAATCTATTTAATTGTCTAGAAAATCTATTTCCTTTTAAATATATTTTGTGAAAAAATATTTCTTCAAAATTTATTTTTGTTTTTTGAATAATATATAGATGCAACATGGAATTCCCAAACTTGGATATATTGGGCCCCTCAACCTTGTTATTGTTAAGGAAAATTGCATATAAATTAGTGGTTAAAATCATTAAGTAAAACGCCACTAAGCTTATTGAACCTAAGGTTAAGGTGTATGAGACTGGGGGTGGGAAATGGGTTGAGTCGACCTATGGACCTGAGCATGGCTGGTTTTGGATCCAACCAATGGACCTGATGGGATGGGTCTAGATCCACTTGAACTTGAGCTGTACTGGGACAGGCCCTAGTCCACCTTGGACCCTATTGAGTCAAGGTCAACCCCGACCCGACCTAACTCGGTATATATGACCCAACCTGACCCGAGATATATAAATAAAGGATAAATCTAAACAACATTGACCGTATTATAAAATATATAAAAATAAAATTTTATATTTATTTATTTCTAGACTGGACCCAACCCTACCAGATAAGGTCGGCTTAGGGTCTAATGCAAAACTATCAGGAAAATAAATTTCTCTACTTTAGGCTCAAAATACAGAAAATGAAAAACATTTCCGTCTCAGATTTATGATCCAAATAGAAGAAATATCATTTCTTTGGAAAACCATTTCCTGGTAATCCTTTTCGAAAGATCCAAACAGCCCATTGTTTAGCCCATCAAAGACTTAAAACTTCCAAAATGAAACACATAGATATTGAAAAAAAATTCACGCAATTACTAGTCAATAAACTTGCCTTTAGAAGCTCACAAGAATGTTGAAGCTTCCTAAATATGCATGCCCCAGAGCCCTGTACTCAGAGTAAGTATAAACTTCCTTGGCCTATAATACATAATCATACATACCAATCGCACGAGACAAATGGAGAATAGGAAATATACCATAGACCAATGGTGTATGTCATGCGGTACACCATGGGGACATCCATCCGTCCATTGCTGCTGATAATCAATGGGGTTGCATTGCAGCTGTCTGACATGGATAATATTTTTTCTTTTGAGGTGGGTCAGTGGTATAATCTGAACTTGAAAATGCAGTGTTGTTGAAGTCAGCTGCTAACCACCTAAGCGCCCAAGCCCAATAACATGGACATTCATTTAGGTATGGTTAATAACTATAACAGACGTTATAAGAATTGGGCTTGGGTCAATAACATGGACATTCATTTAGGTATGGTTAATAACTATAACAGACGTTATAAGAATTGGGCTTGGGTCAAGATGGTAGAGGCTGGGTTTTCATTTCTGGAGTTCCATTCTTATATAACCTTGTCAAAAAAATATCACAGATGTCCCGGTTACCAAAACACCATTGCCCTAGCCTATGATATACTTCCTGATGGGAAAAATCGTCCCTAAGTATAAAAGTGGAAGAGCTATCATCTATGCAACCCAATGCTGGGCCTCAAAGATGTGCCCAAGAGGTGATACTGCTCCCCGCTAGCGCCTTCACGTTGCAGAGCCACCAGCAACAAAGTAGGCCTCACATCGGCCCTACACAACGGGCAACTCGAATGCAATGCAAACCACTTGTCTATGCAGGGGACATGGAACGCGTGCCTGCAAGCAGGCAAGCGCCTCACCCATTCCCCTACAATGAGCTCCCCCAAGCACACTGAGCAGTCCGTCCCACCGCTCTCCAAGTCGGCCTCCAACTGGAAGGCAGGCATCCGATTGCTGACAGCCATGAGATCCAAGCCACCTCGACTATGCGGTGAAGGCATGTCGCTGCTGGGCATATCTTCAAGGAGGGAGTGGCCCCCAACTGGTCCAGGGTTCCGCCCCATGAACCTGCGACGGCACGTTGAGCAGCATCCAAACAGAAGTTTGTAATAGCTGAGGATGAGAAAGACACTGCAAACCATGGCGATGGTGGAGATAACATAGGGGTTCCATGTGCCACTGGGGGACTCATCATGTTCAATTGCCGGAGCCGCCTCCGGGCCACCTGGTTGCATGTTGTGGAGATGGCCCTCCCTAATCTGATTCCAATCAGAACTCAAAAGTTGCAACAAGAGGTCCCTTCATATTGATCCATGGGCTAAAACCTCAAGACTCAAGTCGGCAACAAGTGCCATCCACTTGGGCAATGGCTAGAGAGCTCAATGCAAGGTTCCCTGATCAAAGGGTGGAGATGAAACAGGGGGCTCTAAAAATGTGGTGAGAAGTTAATGGTGGGGCGATGGAAATTATGGTGAGCAAGATAAGACAAGGAAACAGAGTGCATTTTGGACACTCCGATGAGGCCTAATACGAGGATCCATACACATGGAATGGTTTAGGCAGGGAGAAATAAATTAAAACTTGAAATCAAGGGTGTGACTGCTATTTTGGGTGGTTTTAGCCGTTTTCTTGTCCATAGTATTGTTTGCAAGTGTGGAAGGTGCCATTGCCTAGTAAAGTGACTTGTTTGTATGCAAGGGATGTGAAATGGATAATTAGGGAGGAGACATCTAAACCATTCTTAGAGAGATAACGGTTGAGAGATAAGGACCACTAACGCCCTCATTAACACCTTCAAAGAAATTATATAT